TCTCCTCCGCCCGAACAACCGCAGCCGCACTCACCTCCTCCGCCCAGCAACAACGCCGAGGACGAGCCTCCTCTGCCTCCACGTCGACAACTTCCTCCTTCGATAGCCCCTTCGGCCAGTCCAAGGAGAGCGCGTCGACCCTCAAGATCCCCAGCTTCAAGAAATATGCCAGCAAGTCCGGCGAGTCGTCGAATAAGGTGTTTTCGTACTTCATGGCTGGAAGTATGGGGTTGGTGACTGCCGTCGGTGCCAAGGCGACTGTGCACGGTAAGTTTTTGAGATACCTTTGCTTTTTTTTTTTTTTTTTGGGGGGGGGGGGGATTTTGTGTGTTGTGGTGACTCTATCTTGGAGGGAGAGGGGGAACTTCGGTTAACGAGCGTTCTGGGCGACGGATGTGGTTGGGTGATTTTGGATGTGGAAATGGAATCAAGTCGACAATTGGAATTGAAGTAGGATACATTGGGAATGTGCAATTTGCTAATTGAATATGGCTGAATCCAGATTTCCTCGTCAACATGTCTGCTTCCGCCGACGTTCTCGCCCAGGCCAAGGTTGAAATTGCGCTCAATGCGATCCCAGAAGGCAAAAATGTATGCATCCCATTTATCCTTCCGCATCCTTTTCAATTGGAGACAAATAAAACGGAATGATAGAAAAGAAGAAAGATGATGGAATCATTGCAAAATAAAATCTGACTTTTTGCGCGCGCCTCTGCGTTCCCACGCAAAACAATACAGGTCATCATCAAATGGCGAGGCAAACCCGTCTTCATCCGCCACCGCACCGCTGACGAGATCCAAGAAGCTGAGAACATGAAATGGGAAGATCTCCGGGATCCTCAGGCCGATGCGGACCGTGTACAGAAACCCGAGTGGCTTGTTATGCTTGGTAAATTGAAAATCCCCCCTTCCTCACCCATCCGGCCCTTTGCCTTCCCAATCAGGCATATGGATAGTAAACAGATAGATATCTAACAAACCATCCACTAGGCGTCTGCACCCATCTCGGCTGCGTCCCCATCGGCGAAGCCGGTGAGTATGGAGGATGGTTCTGCCCATGCCACGGCTCCCACTATGATATCTCCGGCCGTATCAGAAAGGGTCCCGCCCCCCTCAACCTCGAGGTCCCGCCATACACCTTCCCCACCGACGATAGTCTGGTGATCGGTTAGAAAACTTGCTTAACTAGCAGAAACACAGTCAACTATCTATATAAAAATACAAACCGAACGAACAAAAACAACACATACATACAGAATTCTACCTTTTGATTTTTTCTTTTTCATTGAGCTACTCTCCCACGCTCTCAGCTCATTCTTCAATTCCCTTTGTGTGTGTATATTTTTTGCTTTTCACCCCCACTTTGTTTATCTACCTTGTTGGAATTTGGTGGTGTCGTGTCGTGTCGTGTATGCTGGGGAAAACAGATGTGTAACCTCTTATTTTCTTTTTATGCATCGTGATCATAATATTTCTTGTTAGATGAAGACAGAGAGAGTGCGAGAGAGAGAGAGTCAAAGAACTTTGAAAGACGGGAGAAAAAAAAAAATAGACTTTTTCTTGTATATCTCCCTACACCTATCATCTATCTACTCTCCCTGTCTATTCAGGCTATGAGCAACGGAAACTTCAGCCCGGAAGAAAACAATGGCGATTGAGAAGGGGTCACCCATTCTATTTCCTTTCCTTTCAACAACACCCAATCCCTTCTATCTGCTGTTTCTCCCATTCGCGGTGACATCTCAATTGGGTATTCGAATGCGGTTACAGCTGTGGATTGGACACTTACTTTGCGCGCCGTTTGAGTGGTGGCGCGGTTGGTATGTGCATGTACAGTGAATTTTCCTTGCTGTTCGCCGAGTGGCCGTATATATGCAATAAACAACTCTTCTCTAGACTTTCGTGGAACCTTGGAACTCGCCCAAGGTTAAAACTATTTACACGCGATATTAAACTATGGTTAATCGAAGTAGATTAAAGGAAAATTTTCGGGAGGCTATATTCTTTAAGTATATAATATAAATTTTTCCTTCTCCCATCATCACTAGTAATGTGTAACCAACTGCATGGCGACGAGTATTTTGTATAGATATTATATGATATAAAACAAAGGAAAATATAATGGAACAAGAAGAGAGAATACATCGAAAAAGGGGAAACTCGAGGGTAGGGTTTAAATGCAAAAAAAAAAAAAAAAAAAAAAAAAAAAAAAAAAAAAATCTATCTATCCCAGCAAATACACATGAAATACTTTCCTATCTTCATCAGAAATAAATCCGTCGCTATCGCCCTCACCGTGGTCTAAATATAGCAATCAACACGCCCATCACGGCTGCACCAGCCGCCGCGCTCTCAAGCGCGACCGTCGTCAGCTCGCGTTGGGATAGCGTAATGCGTCGTTCACTGAAGAGGTAATGGATCGTTTGGCGCCAGGAATCTGGCGAGAGGGAGGCGTCTGGGGGTAAGATCGAGGTGGAGGGTGGTGATGGTGATTGTCCAGTGGGTTGTGAGGGGGTGAGTGAGGGTGTTGAAGTAGATATGACCGCTGGATCGGGAATATCCTGTTCGGGGGACGGGGCGGGTTCTAATGGTCCTTGTCCTGGTCCTGGTTGAGTCTCCTCTGAGACACGGGAGGATATGGGAGCAGCTGGCTCGGTGACTTGTGCTGGCGTAGCAGCGAGGGTCGCAGCAGCAGTAGTACTGGCAGCAGCATCAGCATCAGTGCCTTCAGCGGTACCCACACCCTCTTTCATCCCATTCTCCCTCTCCAACGCCTCCATAACCTTCTCCTCAAACCCCTTCACCAACCTCCGGCGCCGCCACGGCTCCACCGCAACCTGGAAAATCAGAAACAGCAGCACATTCACCCCCATCAGACCCCATGTGCCCCATGTACTCATGCGGCGGATCTTGTCGGACCAGATCTGCTCCTCATGATAGCGGGATAGGATGCTTTTGCTCAGCACGGCTGCGGCTTCTTCCGCCTCGCGCTCAGCTGCCACCAGGGACTCCTGCGCGTTTGTCTCGGTGCGCTCGTTGGCATGGTCCGAGCGGTAGAGGGAGGTAAAGCGCTCAAGATCGGTAGGGCTCCAGGCGTGTTTGCGTTGTAGGAGCTCGTTGACTTCACGCTGTGAGGTGGAACGGCGGTTTATGGCGGCGGAATACGCTTTTTTGGCTTCTTGGACGCGGATGCGGGTTTCGCGGACTCGTTCTTCTGGAGGGTTGGAGGTGGGTTAGCATTGGTGTAGGAATGATACCAGTTCCTTTGTTCTCTCCTCTTTCATTTTTTCTCTCTCCCTTTTTTTTTTTTGGTGACATAATTCTATAAACTGGGATCAATGGTGCGGCGGGTTTGGTTAAATATGTAAACCAACAGAACCCCCCAATGGCAACATATAATTCAATACGTACCCTGAATTAGAATATCCTGCTTGAGCTTCTCAATGGCAGAATAGCCCGTGAGGTCATTCAGCCTCTGACCCGCAATGAAAATGTTCGACTGCATATTATCCATCAACCGAGTAAACTGCTTGGAGAGGTCCGATCTGCGCTTTTCAATCTGTGACGGCAAGCCCCGGTAGTTTCCATTCCCATTCCCATTCCCATTCCCATTCCCACTCCCACTCCCGTTCTCTTCACTCTCCCCCTTGGCATGGTTTTGCTTCTGTTCATGCTGTTTCTGTTCCTGCTGTTGCATCTTTGAATATCCGTCCAGGCCGTCTTGCTTCTCCCCACCTAACGAATCCGACTCAACCTCCGATTCCTTTTTCATAAAAGCACCCTGTACCTCCCCATCCCCTTTCCTTCCTGCATTCCCCTCCGCGTCTTCCTTAACAGGCATGGAATCATTTTTCTCCCCATCTATCCCCTTCCCACCTCCCTGCACAGAGTAATACCGACCACGGAATCGACAGCGCAAACATAGGGACGCAGATGCATACGCATTGTTATTGATATTGTTATTGGGCGCACTGGGTAGCCATTGATGTTCCTGACTAGAACCTGTCTGGAAGAGTGCAATTGGGCGTGCTGTTCTCGTAGTAGATGTAGTTATAGATTTTGGAGTGGATGTTTTGGCGGCGGCGGCGGTGGTGGAGGATGTTCGTGTGAGATTTATGGATGAGCGGAGAAGGGATTGCCGGAATATTAGTGGGATGGGTTGCATGGTGAGGTGAAATCTGTCTTTGCGGCAGAAGACAGCTTCATTGGCGCGCGGGAGGAGGGGAAGGGAGAGAGGTTTGTTGTTGGCGGTTGGTGTTGTGAAGATGGTGAAAGTTAAGAATGGTGCCGAGTGCGGAAATATGTTGCCGGAGTTTGGAGTATCCACTCACTACTCAAGACAATGCCATTGCCTCTCAAATGCCTAGATGGACTACTTGCTGCCCATCACTGCATTTTGTTCCATATGAACTTGATGTAAGTGGTAATAATTAAAATGCGAAATTTATTGAACTGCATTCAAACAATGGTGACGGTTAGAAAATTTTCTTTAAAAATGCGGACTTGGCATGTTGAAGTATGAACTTGATATCGACATCTCAGGCATGCCGTCAGATATTTACTATTTTGCTAATCATATGTTCATTTAGTAGTCTTCCTTTGGAGTTTTTTGTTTCACATTATAATCACCGCTGACAATTTTGTATCTACCATTTACAATGAAAAGAAAATAAAAATAAAAAGAAAAAACATATTTAGGAGGGTTTCATGCGCCGGTCACGCTGCCTGCCAGTGTAGGAAAAACCTTCAAAAACAAGGATATATTTCACATCGTAGCACCAAGGCGACGAAATAGCCGTTCCGAACGTGGAGTACAGAGTAGTATACTAGAGGCTAAATAATACAGAACTGATAACACCGACCTGGCGCGCGCGAAAAAGCAAATAGGCAAATATAAGATTTAACAGAAATCGCAAAGGGATTACAAAAAGCACCTAGCCCTATCTAGACACTGGCAAAAAAAAAAAAAAAAAAAAAAAAAAAAAAAAAAAAAAAAAAAAAAAAGAGAGAGCCCGGATAGCGGCGGACAGACCGCGAGTAGGGGGAAGAAGGGGATATTAAAAACGGTTGTTGGCGTAGGGAGGTGAGAGAACTTTATCGTCTGTCCCGTCGACTGGATGAATCAGTGGAGTAAGGAGATTTACGAGGCAGAGTTACTTTAACACCCCCCCCCGGTGTGTTGTTAATATCTGCGATGATCATCGCCGTTGTAGTCATCATCATCATAATCACATGGTAAAACTAATCAATTAACGAGCCATTCATCCCTTCAGTCCGGAGTCTGAATCTTATGGTCGCCCTTCACGGCTTCCGCGTACGTGGGTGGTGCGCGAACATGTTGGTCGCTGCTACTCGCCTCCCCGGCAACATTTTCTCCAGGCGCAGAAGGATGAGGCGGCTGCTGTGGTCTTGTTGCCGGATCAACGGCAGGTGCTGTTGTTCCGTAGGATCTGTGAGGACCAGCGTGAGGGGCTGATGGCGGTTGTTGTCGTGGTGGCTGATGTGATACATAGTAGTATGTTACTCGTCCGCCCTCTGTGTCATTGCGTTGCCCGCTTGCGCCCACGATGGGCTGGTAGCCGTCTGGATAGTCACTATCGTCTTCTGGATATTTTAGGATTATGTACCAAGCGTGTAGGAGGCCGGGGACGTAGCCGAGGATGAGTAGGGCGACGTTGATGAGGGAGTCGGCGGAGCAGATACCGACTTTTACCCAGACTGTTTTGGACGGCGGATGGTTGGTTAGTTAAGTTTTGATGGAAATCATAAAGTCAGGCGCGTACGGAATGATGCACTGGATCGTGCGGGGGGTGTCATCTACGCAGTAGAGATAGTGGGATGGCAACATACCAGCGATAGGAGGGAAGAGGACGGCGATGAATGCGAGGAAGCAGTCTGGTGAGCAGCACATGGTGACTGTCGGATGTCGTATGTATGTACAGTACGTCCAGTGCTGTGTTAGTTAATATAAAAATATTATAGGGAGAGAGTATCAGCGCGTCAGGGGCAGAATGAAAGAAATATAGCCTAAATAGCTGGATGTCGGGTGTTGACGTCTTGTCTTTGCTTTTCCAACTGCGGAGAATGCGGTAGCCTGCGAAAGCTCCGTCAGAGTTGTCGCTAATTTAAAGGTTGCTGGTGATGGACGTGGCGGAGGGGCGGGGTCACATGACCAGCCAAGGATGAGGTCGGGCTGGGCTATTTTTAAACTCGCAGATATCAACATCAAACGAACGGTGGGGATTATACTGTATGGTATGCACAATATATGCTACCAGAAGAACGGCAGTCTTAGAAAACGGCATTAGATCTGCTACTGCATTTTCACCACCTATTTCGATCGGTCAGAGCGCCAGCTGAAATGGCGAATCGGCATATGATAGCAGCTATGTACTCTGTACATACGTCACATCATATTGGCGTAATTATTGCCCCCTTCGCCAACCATACAGAGGCAACGAACTCATGCTGCCCAAATCAACTATACAACTATAGAATGCATGTCAAACAATGTCAAAGCTCCCACCATCTCGAGGCCAGGACAATGATAGTACTCTAGTTAGAGATGACTACGGAGTAGACCTATTTGAAATGGCGATAGCAGTGGCATGCTATTTGACATATCATCCAGATTCTCCGTCTAGTTTGTATATTTTCACATTACAATGCATCGGGGAAGATAAGGATGGATGAAATATACCCTAGGCAGGAGAACGCCATCCATAATAAATTGCCTCTTTACCGCTGCAATCTGATCAGGAATTCATCATTCCCGTTCCCAAGGGTTGTCCAGACTCCTTATAAGGGCAGCGGCGCAAATGACGAGATTCATCAGCTGAAATTCAACTGAGTTCACTTGTCCTGGAGGAGGTATAATCCGGCGCCACATTCTGAATGCATTACACGGCCGGGCTGGTATTGACTTCGACAATGCTTCGGAAGCCAGCTCCATGAGGGGACTCAGCTGCCTTGATGTCTATGATTCTAGTCTGCCAATCCATTGGCATAGATACCAGGTAGCATGGGCGTGGAGTTGGGCAATGCGGTTCCTAGAATCTCGCAGGAAGAAATTTGCTTCATTGAGGCCCATGCAACGTGTTGATTCCAAACTTTTTTTATTCGGGACGCAGCCTACAGCGGCTTTTGTTTGTATGAGCTACAATGAGGGGGGTAAAGGAATATGAATGGATAGAATGTGTATGCACTGTACAGAGTAATTGAATGCTTGACACCTCTGTAAAGAACTTTATATGTATGCTGTGATATTTCAAAAGAATGTGGAAGAGGACATTGTTTCTTTGATGAGCAAACTTGCTGCAGGAATTGACCAAGCGCATTGTCAAGACAGACTTTTTTTCAATCTCAGTATTATTTCTTGGGAATTGAGGCTCAAGCAACACGAAATAAGATGTGAGAATATAATCAGTGTCTTCATTGTATAGAGTACGGAGTAGAAAAGACCTTATGAGAAGAATAATTTCACGGTGGAAATAAATGCCCGGTATTATTACAAGGCTTCAGTTTCTAGTGGTATTGTAGAGAGTCCTTTCTGTTGGTACTGTACAATACAAGTACCCAGGTACGGAGTACTTGGCAAATGACAATCCAGCAGTCATTGTAATAATAATAATTAAATACAATGGTGTAATAACTTTGTGCAGCATTTGTGCGTCCCCATCGCCCAGGCGAGGAACTCTGAAGATTTCCTTTGTTGCTTTTCCTTAGTGGTTCTTAAATTTTGGGGGCTTTTTATCCTGTTTTTCTTTTCCCTTATTATTTGGAACGCCCGCAACGGACTATGGAGAGAAAGCATCGATCCGGTGGTGACAAAACCGCTCAAAGCTCAGTGGTCGAAAGGGTGGCGTTTCTCATTTCCCATATATGGGACAGTTCAGGGGCTAGCCGCGACGGGCCTGGAGCTACCACAAAACTAACCGTTTGAAAAGCGAGCTCGAGTAATAACAAGGGTGATTGATGGTTCGATGAAACAAGTCTCGAGTACGTCAACTGTAGCCTTTTTTCACTGAATACGGATCCACGGATTGCAGCAGTGGTTCCAGTGGACAACACAGAAATAGCAAAAGGGTGAGGCTCAAACTCTCCTGGCGCAATGATATGATACTATGATAGGTACTCCAGGCAGCTTAGTCTTTGCGTTCATGCTGCGGAGTAGCACATACATGCATCCAGAAAGGAAGTTCCGATGCATGGCACTGTTCCTGCATGTACTACGTAGATGCGCCCACTCTGGGACTAAAGAAAGAACAATAAAAAAGGAATTTCCACCTTAGTACTGTTACTTTTTAGCGTGCGTCGTAGCAACGTGTCAGCATCCGTAAAACTGCACCAATGTTATTCTGACATGCCACCCAGCGTCATGGATCTGGTACCTACAGCGTTAGGTACAGTGTACTGCGTACGCAGCGTACATACATACATGTACAGAAATCACCTGTCTGATTGGCCATAGTGTTCGAGGTTTCGCTGTGTATGGTCATGCCAGGTACCGTACAGTAGTCGACCGACTGCGATACACGTACCCATACCAAGTACCCATAGTCTGTGCCTGTCTGTAATTCCAAGACAGCTACTCCGTACATTACATCCACACTTACTCCATACAGCGTAAGCAACCGCCCAGCCAGCGGCTAACGCATCGTTCCCATCCGCCTTCCTCCACTTCTTCTTTTCTTCTTCTTCTCCCTTTCCAACCTCATCGTCCAACTCGTTCCTTTTCTCGTTTCCTCGGTGGACGACATCCCCTAATTTTTCTCTTCTTTTTCTGATTCAATTCACTCGTTATCTTGTTTCTTGCCTCCTGACTCGCTCCCCCCCCCTTTTTTTTTTTTTTTTTTTTTTCTTTCGCGTCACTCATTTCGCATTCACTCCTGTCGACAACACCAATTCAGGAGCCAGCCACAGTTGCAATCCTTTCGCGGTTTATACCAGAGATAACAGACAGGCCAAAGGGGAGAGAAGGATATCTCAAGTGTCATCATGTCCGGTTAGCTTGTGGGGTGCTATTCTCGTCGATTCGATTCCCCCTGGGTCAACATCAAATCGGTCTCGAAAAGCTTTTGTCCCTCGTTTTATTTGCTTCGCTTTGTTTTTTGAGAGAAAACGACGTCGCAAATCCATCTGGAATTCCGCAAATACCGAAGACGCTCGCTTGAGTCCTAGTCCTACACATATATTCTCGCCATGGCTGGCAATTGCATTTCCCTAAAGGGTTCGAAGGCTTGTCCTGCCTTTTCCAATGCTGCCATCTTGACGAGCCCTGAAAATCTGGTCAAATTGTATGTTTTTATTCTACCCTAATATATAGACCCGTCAGTTGTGGTTTATCATATGCTGATCTACTGAACCTTTGCAGTTCTTTTCTCTCATTCGTTTCCAATACACAAGAGTTCGATGAGCACCTGTTCTCATACTCTAATAGCGAATATGTCAAAATGAAGTATGCATTTTAATTGGACCCAACCAATCGCTTGGAGTTAGCTATGTTGTGCTAATCATATTTTCTACTACTCTTCCTCCAACAACAGATACCAGCAGGTTATTGGTTGTTCCGATATCAACCTTAGCGATACCTCTTCGCTCTATGCCCGATATACACTCAGCGTAATTTGTAATGGAATTGTTCAGAGCTCAGCGGCATGTGGAAACTCCCCACCTCTCTGTGCAGAGTCCTGTGTTAGTCCCCAATTTTCGCAGTATATTTTCGACTATATGGACATAGGTTAATATTTTTTTGCGACAGGCACAATATGCTACTAGTGAACAACTAATAGCTGTCAACCCAGAGCTCTGCGGAACTCCGAGAGATGGATACATGGATCAGATCAGGGCTGATTTTACGGTCTGTTCGAACCCGAAGGATGCGCTAACCGATACTTGCATCTCTGGCGACGAAAATGAGCCAAATGAATGCGGTTTTGCTCAAAACATATTAGGCCTCTGTAGCTTTTGCAAAGGAAGCACCACCAACTCAACAGACTCTTGTTGTCTCGCCGCAGATGTCGAGAACCGCTGCGAGGGACTCACTCTTCCATCCGTCGGGCCCCTCCCTCCTCTTTTTCCCTCTCCAACATCTTCACCACATCCGTCGGATCCAGCAGCCGTGTCGGGTAATGGGCTTTCTGGTGGTCAAATTGCTGGGGCCGTTGTGGGATCTGTTGCAGGATTTGCTATATTGGCTGCTCTTGGAGCCCTGCTCTTTATATGTTTGAGACGCAGGCGCGAGCAAACTCGGGCACCCGTCCTGAACCAACCCTCACCACCGCGAAGTAGTAGGACACCAATGCAATATGCCCCTGGAAGTCGGAACGGTGCATATGAGGTCCTCCCAGGTAGTCGTGTGGCTAGGATGTCGGCACTACAAGCAAGCAGTCATGATGGATCTCCGCCCCGTACTGCTGGCGGAATTGCAGCAGTAACCCCTAGTCTTGCCAAGTATCACGATTCGTCCGATTCTGACGCATACGGGGAGAGCCCAGCACGGTCTAAGCGTGGTCCACCTGTTACGGGCAAGAGAAATGGGTCTCTTTCAAGTGCATCTGTCCTAGCGGGGAACAGTGAAACGGCTTCGCCAAGATCGGGGAGTGGTGGCCATTATTCCTCACCCGAAGGGATGGCCAGTGGCCAATCTGAGCAACTACCCTACTTCAGAGATTACTACTCTCAGGATGATATCCACCCGAATGACAAGGTTACCGTGCTGTGGGCGTATCAACCTCGTGCAGGTGATGAGTTTGAGCTGGATAGGGGCGACATGCTTAAGGTCGTGGGAATATGGGATGATGGATGGGCAACTGGTGTTAAGCTAAACGAAAGGGCTGAGGATTATGAAATAAGCCACAACCCACAGCGTGATAGCGGCGTTTCTAACGGCTCAGGCAGAAGAGGATCGTCTCCTCCACCAACAGGTGAAATCAAGGCATTCCCAGTATGTTCCATCGTTGATATATCCTTTTTCAAACTATAAAACTGACCGATTACGATAGCTTGTGTGCGTCTGCCTACCTGAACATTGGAGGAAAACTATCGACGGTGATCTCTCAGCCGAGACTCACGGCGATTCTTTTAACCCTTAGCCGCTCCCGTATTTTCTGGTGACACCACCCTGTCTCACGGTCCTCATTCATGTCTTGACGATTGCGCCTTATTCCATTTCTCTTCCAACTTTTCTGCTTTCTACTTTTCTGGCGTTTATTCAGAGGGCGGTTGAATTGGTTCTCCAGTTGTTACTCCATTGCGCGAATCGTGTCAACATCGCAAATGGGCGGTATACACATATATCTCTTACGCGTTTCCGTTCCCTTACATTCTAACGTACCCGGCCCAAATAGAAGACCCCACGCTGCTGCGCTGCCTGCTCCCCCATGCCAAGGGCCCTTTTAATTCCCCTCCTTCATGATTTACCTCTACATCTTTGTTTATATATGTCCGCAAGACGTTTTATATCCACGGGCTGCAAGCTCTTCCATTGTCTTTCTTCCTTTGTTTCTCATTTTTCTCCCTCTGATCGTACCGATCTAAGTTTTTATTTTAGTGTTTACTCTCCAGTTTTTCCTCCACACTCTTTCGTTCGAACTCGGGTACACAATATACCTTTTCCCAATATTTCAACCTCAGCGTTTGCTCCTTAATACTGTCACAACAAGCTATTGTGGCGGTGGTAAAACCTGCGAGCTGAGTTGTGTACTTTATTACTTTGATCGGTCTTCCTTTTTCTTTTCCTTAACCGTTCCGCGTCGTCCTATTTACCCTCCTTTATGATATGGAAAACTTGGCCCCAGTTGGCTTCATGTTTCCCCCGCTACCACTTGTTCTGCTTGTTCTTTTTTCTTTTTTATCTTTCTAACTTTACCTAGAGCAGATGTAGTTTATACCCCACCGTGAATTTTATCGATGACAGATGTAAAAGAGATTTCTTTCCTCTCCTTCTTTTCCCCCTTTGCTTCGACCATTATCTTTTCTTGTGATAGATTTCACATTTGATCCTTCTCTCTCTTTTCTCGCACTATTCTTCTCCTAACATTCTGCGCTTCTCTCTATTTTCGTCAAGAGAGACCTGGTAGTCTTATCATTATAGCTGAAGCGCTTAGTTAAAAGAAATGATTAAATAGGCCTGGTTACATATCACATTGCGGTATCTGAGTTGAGGATATTAGATACGAGAGTTGAGTTTTCAAGTTGATTTAGGAAGGAGGATTTTGGGCTGTCTAAGTGGGAGATTTCACTCTTTTCTCTTCTTTCCCCCTTTTCCCAGAGTACAATCACGTATATAGTTACCTGTCTATCTTATATTCTTGCACTTTTTCAAGTTTCCGGTTGAAATATTTGCAGGTTATCTTCTTCACATTCATCCCACACCACCCAAATATTTCAGGATGTTTTTTCATGGCTGCTAGATCAACTAGACCAGACAACACAGTGGCGGCAAGTATTCTCACCACCTTCATGTCACATGGCAATTCCTCCAAAGTGTCCGGAAGCAACCCCCCAGAGCCCGCCTCTTTTACCTATTTGAGGAGATACCGATTGACAAGCTGGCCGCAAGCGTAGGGTAGGGTAGCCAGAGATTTCCATTTATCTATTGACATGTTTATATTTGCGAAAGTTGCTGGTTACCAATATATATATGCCCCTGGTGCTTTGGTTTTGCTTGAGCGGGTGAATAGAATGAATGTCTCGCATCGCCCTCCGTTTACGATGCGTCCGTTGAATTCGTCCCATTATTAGCACAATCTATCTCCATATGAATTTTTTTTCTTTTCACATGACGGGTTCCCTAGGAGCTTTTACATCTCAGGAAGAGAAGAGGAAGGGCTGGAGGAGAGACCCGGTGCCTGCGTGCGACAGGATTAGGGACAGTGACGATTGGAAAATGCCTGGCTTTTTCTGTTGGGAATATATATATATAGATATTGAAGGGACGATGGATGATGTGCCCCGGCAAATGTGGGCCGGCCCTGTAACCACCCACTATGGCTATTAAATGCATTTGCAGGATAGATTGCATAGATGTAATCACTGCAGACAAACCTAGCCTGTAGTAAAACAAGGGGATGCATGCCGAAGGTCGTACGTAGCCAGCGGGAAAGAAACAAGCATTGTCGGCCGTTTGCTTCATTCATTCTCCATTTTTGTTCAACGACAAATTTGGGCCCATGTGAATCCTTCCGTATTCCTGCGTGTAGTAATTTCTTTGCCCCTGAGAGCCTTGCCAGCTGCTAGATCTTCGGTTTATCCCAAGCCTTCTCCTGAAGTGTCGACCCTTCATGCTATTCCACAACCTCGAGCATTTACGGCCTGGTTCCTTTTATTTAACTACTTATGTGATGCTGGGATCATTCCAAAATCTCACTCACGTTCCCACAAGTGCATTTGCAGAGGGCTCTCTCTAGCTTTGAATTTGTAGAAACTCTGCTAGGGTCCCCTCCATATAAAAATCAGTATTTAAATCCGGCACAGATACACCATCGTCCGCCCCTGATAGCAGGAATCTAGAGCATGAATGATGAGAAACAAAGCTAGAGACAAAGCTAATATTGCCCAATTCTGGCAGCAGCTCGTCTGGAAACTAAGTTGTTGGCGTTTCCAAAGGGGTACGCCAGCGCGTCTCTTACTAAAGACCCTTTTCTGGCTCAATAGTTTGAGAATCGAGTTTTGAAGTGACGGCGTAGTTATAACCAGAGATGCGAATACAACTCCGAAGAAGAGGGGAAATGTGAAATTGTTGTTTGAAAAATGGTATCTTTGTCTGTCTTTGCACTGGACATTAGACACGACTATTCAGCCCAATCAGTTGTCGATCATATATGAACTGAAGCATATGAGCATAGTAAGTGTGGAATCTTAAATGGCTCTGCTTGAAAAAAAAAAAGAGCCGTTGAATGATTCGGGAATCGCTGTTGGTGCGGGGCCCCTGGCTATGCTTTGTAGATCCTCATCATACGTTGGCACACAATGTAGTTTATTGCTACGGGTTTTTGGGGATAAGCTTTCTCGTGCCCTTGTCCTGATTATTTTGGCAGCCCATAGTAGCAAGATATAGCTACCAAAACGAAGTGAAGCAATGTAGGAACGCGCAACTGGGTGATTGATGCTACAGGAGGGGACGGATTATTACGAGCCCTAAATTAGGGTTAGGGATCAACCTGATGTCATGCAGACAAGCTGTGGAGTCATGTCTATGTTAACCCCTCCGAGCATTTAAGGAAGGTTTAAGGACTGATATGTCATAATATAAATCTCAGTTAAATAACCAGAGATCTAATAAGGTGCTTAGCGGAAAGAGAACTCAACAGTTAAGGTTAAGGGAAGAAAAGATGATGAGTAGATTCTGAAGTCAATATACTCTATATACCTAGGCAGAATCAGAACAGCCATAGTAAAAAATGGAAGAGGCATCATCGAGACTGATTTTATTGAAAGACTAAATGATCAAATACGCTACTCAGATGGTTGATAGAGAGCCAAGCTGTACGCTCATTAGGATGTCGTCGTTCTTTTTCTTTTTCAACATTTGATCGTGGAGAAATTCCACGAGCAATATCAGCTGCGCTCATAGATTATTAACCATGTAATTTCAAATAAGAACCATCAGGAATTGAAGTTTTTTATTAATTCCCATGCTAAGACAGCTCAGTCATACGCTGCATATCCAGTTTGTCTTGCCTAGCCAATCCATCACCCTGCACCGATACCCACCATTGAATGATGAGTGACGTTTTGTGTATATCTCTGACATTCTTATCCAAGGAGGGGGATAATGTCGACGCCGTCTAGGAGAGTATCATAGCGTTAATGCGATAGATAGGGAAAACAGTGAGAGTCCGATATCGGGAAGAAGCGACCGTCTATATGGGAATACGCTATATAGCTCCCGATTCTATTTGGCGGGGGAATGATCGACCCTGCGCAGGTGGGAGAGCTAGACAGATTTGCTATCCAATCGAAACCGTGCCAATGTACTGTAATTTGTTTGTTGGGTGGCCCCCACGGCCGAAATATTTAGCCAAGGATGATTCTGCTAGCTGTCTAGAAATCTCTAGCACTCCATCCCTCTCCTTCTGCATGGGGGGCCGATGGTGCTTGGATGAACACGGAAGTGCCATTATTGTTCTCGATCTGGGAGATACTACTCCGTAAATTGTTTGGAAATAATGGTATTGAAGAGGTCGCGCCAGGTTCAGAAACATTCTTGCGCAATGATGGCTAGATGAAAATGCCTGCGTATGTTCCTCGATGTAACTCGGGTGTTGAAACGCTGTGGAAAGTCACGTCAGTGAAAGAAAATGTCAAAGTCGAACGGAGCGTTTGCTGAGCGTTTCCTGGGGGCATGATATTTAACAGCTGATATACACAATTATGTTTCTCTGCTTCCGATACGGTCGAAAAACTTCTCATTCTTTGCTCTCTTCCAGTCCACTTTTCTCAAAGCTACTACTGTACGAAATCGGCCTCCGAATTCCAATATTGGGCGCCAGCGGATACCAGCCAGTGCAATGGGGTCCGTCCTTCCATATCGCTTTTAAACATCATGACCCCGGGTAGAATAAATTAGAGACACATTGTCAGGCCGAAGGATATGGACGGGAACGACGACGGATAGGCGAATTAATTATTGGAATGTTTGAAATGTTGAAATGTGTGGGGAAGAGAAGATCCTAGCAGTAGGAAATTGACGTTGAAGATGAAGGTTACATGTGTTTGCATTCCCCTGCATTTTAATAAGAGTCGAGGATGAAAAAAAAACGGCTTGCCAGCCAGCCCACCACACGATGGATAATATAATACCCCATGATGCGCAACCGGGGGCACAGAAATAATGACGGTGAAAATCTCTCTAGGAACGCGGAAAATGAAAATAAATTCTCCATCAACGCGGGAGGCTTGTGGGCAGCCAGCGCAGTGTATGTATTTCTCATCTTAAGTAGTCCATAGCACCTGTTTGATTCGCTATGAATACAAGAGCTAGCCCGTCGTTCGGGCTTCAACTTTTGACTGGAAAAAAGAAAAAAATAAATAAATAAATAAAATAAAATTCCCCTCCCGTCCGACAAGAAAGAAAACGAACAGGAGAAAGTACATGCACCTTGACACAGTTGCAAAACCTGCGTGCTACACTGCTCCACGACCTTCTTTCTCGCAACAGATGAACGAACGCCTCCGCTTATCGCACGCTATATAGGATGGGGATGAAGATGGGGCGGAGACGCTGTGACCAGGGGGCACGCCTTGGAAAGGGGGGGGGGAGAGAGTCTTGGAAAGGGCAAAACTAGAGGCCAAGTTCGTTCATTACAAAGTGTTTGATTTCGAGATCCATTGGAGCAACTCTGAGGGAGCCAAAATCTGCTCAAAGTTGAGCAAGGTACCGAAATAGTTTGAGCCGGAAAACATGCCTGGTGGTGTTGGTCTTGATGATGAAAATAAATAATCTCATCAAACGCCGCGGCAGCCAACATGATATGATATGATAGAGAGTTATTAGATAGCATACGCAGTAATGTAATGCCTGTTGGGTAACTAATTTGATAAACTGACCAAAAAGAGACCCCACTAAAACCCCTGCCACATACTATACTGTGTATGTACGGAGTATAGAGAGGAGTATGATACTTCCCTCCGTTCCCCGGGGGGTTGGTTGGTTGGGGTACACCGAACATCTTGAAAAGATGGCGCCACAACCAACAAGCGTCAATCAAGCACACAGACAGCGCATAATATAATTTCTCTTTCTCTTTATTTATTTATTTATTTATTTTTCTTTTACATTTTGCGTGAGATTTGATTTAAACTCATAATAAAATTGTACTGAACCGTACCGGTGGTTAACCCGCTTTTGTCTCCCGAATTCCCGAGGCATGGAACGTAAAAAGAAAATGTTTAAAAATAAAAATAAAAATAAAAATAAAAAAAAGAAATGACCCTGCGGGAGAAACGTGGGGGGTCCACAGGAACTAAGGCAGGACGATAGTTACCAAAAAAAAATTAAATATTTCGGCTTCGCTAACTTGTGTTCTTGTGCGTGCTGTGACGGTGGCAAGTTACACAACCCACACCACAACCCTCTGAAGATAACTACGGGGCCTAGGTCGGGGTTACATACCTACTACAAGTCAGTACGAAGATAGATTATTATTAGAGGTCCGTTTTTCCGTTATCTAGGTACCTAGGTAGTTAGAGTTGGGTACAACTGTGGCAAGCAAGCAAGCTTGGTTGGTTGGTTGGGTGTAAATAGTAAATAATTTGACAATAATACTGAAATAAATGACCACATCCCGATTCCCGAGCACAAAGCCGAACCGAGCCGAACCGAGTGGGGAACGTCAGACTTGTGAGAGCCTGGTTAGCGGGTCGGTATATCCGTTGATAAGGATGGCAACCTCCTTTTTGTTTTAGGGTGACGCGAGGGAAAAGAATAATAAAAAGAATAATAAAACTGATGAGGAAGGCGGGTGAATAATAACGAATATTATCATCTATCTACTTTTCTTTCTTGATGTGGATGGAAATAGTGACACATGAAGAAAACATTCAGAGCTGGAAAAACATGCATATGTAACCTTACACGGAAAATAGATGGTAAAGTAGAATAAAGTAGAATAATAACATAACGTAGAAATAAAGCTGAAACCATAATACAACCGGGTAAGTAAACTACATCAATTAACAAAAACAAAATAACATAACGCAGAAAGTAAACACATCATTATCCTGCATAAAAATGGTGTAAGAAGAATGGAGTCGGAGCCCAAGTAGATGAATCAAAGGCTGTGCCATACTGCCATATACTGTAAACATGCATCAAAATATAACAAATATAAAATAAAAATAATATAATGTTAATAAAACAGGAGTGCACGAAGAGAAATATCGGTTGATAAAGACACACCAAGGACCATGTTAAAACAAGAGGGGGCCATGTCAATTTGCAACCAAAAAAAAAAAAAGAAAAGAAAAGAAAAGAAAAGAAAAGAAAAGAAATCTGTGAAAGAAACACGCAAAACGTATACCCCCCTTTCCCTTTTGCTCGGAAATTGTACCCTGGGGAAAAGAACACACCCAAAACCAAGCTAATAACACAAACAGAATATAAATAAAATGGGAAAACCATTCGCCTATACCCGTAATTAAAAGGGGGCCTCTGAGAGAGCCACCGACGCCGAAGTCCACGCATATAAAATCATATAAAATGAAAGAAATAGAAAATAGAAAACAAATGCAGGGAGACGTGGCATAAACAAAGAGGAAAGAATAGAGTAGGAAGGATCAAGAGCGCCCTTCATTCCACCCCCTCACCCACTTCAGTTCACTGGCCCTGTTCACACCAGACGGTACTCAACCAACCATTCGCAAGCCCTCGTGAACCGGCTACCGAGGAAGGCCATTGGTCTTGACTAGTCCCCTCGATAAACATGAGAACATCGTCACCCCCAAGACAGCTCATCCAGCCAGGACTGCTGCTACCGGTGCCGCTACCGATATTTTTCCCGCTGCCGGCGGAATACGGGCGCGATGGAGCATCGAGTCTCGGCGGGTTGAGGTGGAACGGTAGTGCGCCTGGGAGTGGTGGCATAGGGAAACCGTGGTGCGCGGCGGCGTTGATGGATGGTAGAGATTGCGAGTAAGGGGCGGGCGCCGGTTGGCGGGATGTAATCCATGGCTGTAGGGGTTGGAGGCGGTTAGAGGGTGCGGGGAGCTGTTGGGGGTTGGTAGGTGGTGCAGTTGTGCTTGGGGTGGAGGAGGCGTAGGAGCCGGGGGATGTTAGGGATGGCGGTGGGTTATGTGATGCGGTTGACGATGGTATGCTATGCGGCGGCTGTAATGAGGGGAGGGGGTAGGATTGTGGTTGGGGAGGAGGCAGGCTGGTCCAGCGGTCATTCTCGAGCGGTCTGGGACGGTCGTGTTCTGATCCGGAGGATGGTGGTGGTTGTGGTGGTCCGTGAACTGGGCTGTTAAGGCTGTTGACAGGTACCCATGATTCTCTGAGGGCACCAGCAACCCCATCGGCATGAGAGTCCAGACCATCCGCGGATTCGCTTTTCACGGCAGTGCTGCCAACTTCACTGGCTGCACCACCTCGTTCCACCAAATTCGCCGAAGCTGTTGTGCCATCTTCATCCGGCCCGTTAATATCCGCCACCTGATCTTCTGCGTTACCAAGGTCTAGGAGGACCTTGTCCAAGAGCTTCAGCTCGTCAAATGAGCCTGCATGTCCCATTTCTCGTACGCCATAAGGGCGTCCGTTACTGGTTCGAAGGTCGTTTTCGGGGCCAGGCCCAGCACCTAGCATGTCTAGGTGTCGGGAACTTCGTTTAAAATCCCGCCTGGCTCTGGAAAAATAGCCATGAACGCGGTGAATGGTCCGGAACCACCCAGTAGCCATTTTCAGCCGTGGTCTCATCTCCCCTAGAATTTCAATGGCTCTCCGTACGTCAATTTGTCCCTGACAACCTAGACCCGGAACAACATCTGTCGAGCCCGGTTTCGAGCAAATGTAACCTTCTTGGTCCATCTGGTTAAAATGAGCAGCGTAAATACCAAGGAGCGCAGCGTTATATATAGCAAAACCGACCACAGGAGTCTCCATTAATACCCCACGTTCTTGACACATTTTGACAAGTTCCATCAGTTGGCGCGCTGCTTTGAACAAATCTCGAGCACTTTCCCGCCAGAACCCCTCAGGCACAAGATATTTATCGGATGGGAAACACGGCTCGTCGAGAGGTCCCTGCGGATCAGCGCACCTCAACGGCAAGAATGGCAGGTACGCCCTGTGCAGTACGATCACGGATAGGAAGTAGAGAATGTGGATAAGTGAGTAGGGTGCCAAATTGTTTTTGTACATAATATGAGTGTCGGTGTTGCGCTGGGTGTACTGTAAATTGCGGGAGAGACCATCCTGGAACTCGACTAGAAGTTGTCGAAGAGAGCTGAAGCGAGAATCGGGATGCCATGGAGGGTATTGATCAATCCTGTAGAGACAAAAATGAAACAAAAAAAACATCAGATCTCGTTAGAAAATTGCCGTCTGATTAGATGTGATAAGAAAGGCATTTTTGGATTTAACTAACCTTCTATTGCCAGAGCTCGACCATTTTGCGATGCTGCCCCAGATTCTGACCATCCGTATCAGTCTACTCAATACGCACTCCTCCGCACCCACTTCCCATCGATCAATACCATTTTCCGTTACTTCGTTTCGTTGACTAGTTGACGACCATTGTTTCAGATCTGACGGCCCACTGGTGCGTAATTTCGAGTCCTCCCCATAACCCGTACTATGGCGTAAGCTGGGAATCTGAAGGCCTCGCTGCTCGTAGCTTTGAGAACGGAGTTTGGGGCCATCATACAAACGTGATGTTTTGACTCTCTCACCGAAAGCGAATGCATTGTCGCTAGGAAGCTGGATCTCTATGTCCTGAACCTTGATCATGCGAGGACGATATTTGCCATTGCTGAGGTATCGATCTAGCATGAGACAGCTCCAGAAAGTCCGCCGTCTAGTCTCCTGTTCGATCACGTCGTCCGAATTACGGTCCCTCTGGTCGCGTTGTTCTACCTCTGCGTTAAACAAGCCCGAAGAGGATGTTTTATGTGATGACTGCTGATCACTCTCCGGCTCGAAAGCCAAGCCCATCACCTGAGCCAGTCTGATTGACATCCCAAGATAAACCCAAGCGTTTTTACCCCTGCACATTCCCCATTCGTGTAAGCTTAGCATGAGGAGGGCCTGAACCCGACTGATGTCGGTTGACGTAAGGTCCACTCCATCAATACCCGCGAGTCTCGATCGTAGTGCGTTCGCAAAAAAATCAGAGGCTACGAGAGGGTTACATGGCGCAACGGGTGATGGGGGAGAGTGATAGTGAGTTAACTGTGGGTGGAATCGAGCAGTCAGGGTTAGAACGCCTAGTAGAATCAATGGAGAAGCCTCCGAAGCTGGAACTGGGCTCTGCGAGTGGTCACCGGATGGTTGGCCATCCTGTTGCGCTGAGTTCGCGGAAAGCTGGCGGATCTGAGCGAGAAAGGTGGACGGGTGTAAAAACGGGAGGATGGTGGAGAAATGCAACTGAAAGAGTTCGAATAGGCTCTCCCAGACTTTGACGGTCAAGATGGACGAATCTAGTACGTGAGCGGCGGTTGGTTTGATGACATCCTTTGCTCCTGCGGGTGCAGCATTCGTGGACTTCCTTGAACGCTGACGCTTGGGGCTATCCCACTCGCCATTCCGGTCATCTCCATCCCCGGTGGCAACGATGTCGCGCTTCGTGCCACCTCCACCGCCTGCCGGAGCGGGAGTCGGATAGGCGCATTCCCTCCCCGAGGATTCACATGCCCGACAAGTAGTATCGATACCCGCATTGACACATTTGATCTTGCTTCGCCTGCACCGAGAGCAAGCGATGCTAGAACGCATTTTCAATGCGGGCTGCTCTTTTCTCTTCTCCACGGTGGTGGTTGTATTCCGTGAAACCCTTGGGAGAAAAAAGGCCCCTCGATGATTTACCAAGCGTTATCTCCACTGAATCCCTGTGATGGGGAAGTGTCGGGAAAAGAGTCCTCCTTTTCTTTTCTTTTCTTTTCTTTTCTTTTTTTTTTCCCTTTTCCCGAGGAGTAATGTTTAATAGCGTTCGTACCCGGAAAAATAATGGGTTGGTCTGTTTGCTGTTCCTTTCGCGCCTCCGAACAGCAAGGCGAGAAAATGCAGTCGGGAGTTCAATGTAACAAAGAAACCGAATCAGACCCGCAGCGAGGCAGAAGAAAGAAAATTACAGAACAAAAAGACAAAAGAGAAAAGAAAAAAAAAAAAAAAATTACTTCCAGTAAACAACCGGACACTCGAGGGAAATGAGAGAAACGCGGGAAATAATAATAATAATGGGGTAGTAAAAGGTTGCGGATGTAACAACTGTTGGGGTAAAAGCCGCAATTTAAGGTGCAGCAGCACAACGGCCGGTTTCGGGGTCAGCGATGCGATGTTGCGCGCAGGCTGGTCGACCACAGGCCGCGACTGGGCACAGTACAAACGTGAACAGAGAGTTCGGCCTCTTTTTTTTTTTTTTTTTTCCTTTTTTCTTTTTTGGCCTCCTGCAAAGTACAAGGTTCCCAGATGCGACAGGTTAAGCAGTTGAGGGAGGGAGTGCGGTGTCAAGTCGCGAAACAAAAAAAAAAAAAGGCTTCTTTCGCGCAAGGTTGCCAAGGCTTGACTCGGGCGGGATGACAGAAACAGGAGGGGAACAAGAAGATGATAAGAGGACAAGAAGGGTGGACGGTACGCAGATGATGAGATCAGAGAAAAGAGAAAGGGAGGAGAAAAGTATAAAAACAATAGAGACAAGAAGAAGAGGGAGAAGACGCGAGCCAAGGGGAGGAAGAGAGAGAGATCTGGTCAACCTAGTCCAAATTGCCGGAAGCGCACATGGTTCGTTCGTGGACGTGGTTTGCGGCAAAGTCGTAGTAACTAACTACTAGCTAGTAGTAGTCAAGAAGGAAGCACAACACAGTAACTACGTACAGAACAAGTAGTACCAAGAGGTCGGCGGCCCAGACTGGGAGATTGGAGACCGGAGCGGACTGCGATTGCACCTCCAAAAGTCTAATCTGGATGTAGGCTATCTCCAGTCCGTGGCTGGCTTGGAAGCCGGGAGCAGAGAGAAAAAGGGAAGTAGTGTAGCTAGGAAGCCCGCAAAGAAAAGAGAGACAGAGAGAGAGGAGAAAGAAATGGAAACGCAGATAGACGCCAATGCAAGGAGGATAGATAGATAGATGCAAACAGAGGCGGGCAGAGCAGACGCCTTCTTATCCGCCGACAGCGCAAAGATAGGGAGTTACCAGAGACTAGTTGACCGAGGAGTAAGTTTACGTACGTTGACGTACGGGATTGATGGATGGGATGGGATGTGGGATTGGTTAGTCGTAGTAGTAGTAAGAGTAGTAGTAGTAGAGGTAGTAGAGGTAGTAGAAGTAGTAGTAGTAAGAGTAGTAGTAAGAGTAGTAGTAAGAGTAGTAAGTAGCAGTAGAGGTTTCTGGTGCTGGCTACGTGCGTTTGCTGCTGGAAGAATGGCTCCCCTATTTTTGGTCTTTCTTCCTTTTTCTTCTGTCTCTTGAGGCGCGGGATGAAAACGAGGATCTCAAGCTTGCCTTCGGGTGCCCATCTGAAGCCGTGTCACATCCAGCCTGGGATCGGGATCAAGGGGGGCGGAGTGGGGCGGGCACGGCAGGGAGAACGAACGACCAAGAGGCGAAGACAGATCCCCAGAAGTATCAGTCTGTCAGTCTACCAGTTTATCAGAAGCAGGCTACGGAGAGTTGGGTAGAGAGAGAGAGATAGATAGAGAAGAAGGAAACGGGAGATGTAGTTACAGGCAGAAGACGCAGACGACGAGATAGATTAACTCGAGAAGGGAAATAATATGATAATGAGAAAAAGAAGCCCGCGCCACCACGGTCAGGCTTGGTGTTATTGTCTAGTTATCTCTTTTTCTTTTTTTCCTTTTGATACGATTCACCCTGGTGTCTACCTATCTATAGGAAGAAGCATTAGCATTAACGGAGTATATTGTACGGAGTATTGATGCTCCTTTGCTCCATTGGTACGGATTTACGACTCCTTTCAACACGCTCTCCGATGGTCCATATTTATTTTCTCTTGTTTTCTTTCTATCATTTTTTTTTTTTTTTTGGCATAAATTTGGATTTATTTTCTTTTTACAGCACGATTTTAAACCACTGACCACCGATTTATTAATTTGCAAAAAATGCTCCGGCCTTGCACAACCTAGCGTCTCTCTCTATCCTTTCTGCCTCTCGTTTGGTGGTTCGTGGCTTTTCCAAGGTTCTCTCTCTCTCCAAGGGCTCTCGGGGTCTTTTTTCTTTTTCTCTTCTTTTTCTCTTCTTTTTCTTTTCTTTTTCCTCTTCCGTTCCACTGGAGGTTGGTTAACGGGTTGATGATCCCTGCCGCCCGAGAGCATCCCATCCGACTTTTTTTTTTTTTTTTTTTTCCCTCTTTTTTGCAAATTAACACCCAATTCCAAATTCTCAAATTCCCAAATTCCCAAAAAAATTCGGAAAGTCGGCTTGTTATTTTTTTTCAATTTTTGCAAAACACCCTTGCCCGCAGAATACCGCGGAGACAGTCCACACAACGGCGGCGGGCGGCGGGCGGCGTCATTTGAGTATTTACCGTTCAGCTATTAGTGGTGGAGATTTGCTGCAACCTGGCAGGATTTGCAGTTGATCGCGGGCCGGCTAGGAATAATAAGGGATCGCGCTGTTGGCAGTTGAGTTGGTCCCGCTGCTGGGCCCGTCAGCCGAAGATCGCACCAAACGACGCACGCCTGTGCTACTCACTATTAATATTATTACTGTACTGTCAAACCAACCCGGCAACCTCCGGCATTTCTGCTCTCGCGATTGTGATGGTGATGGTGATGGTGGTGGCTGTGTGTGTGTGTGTGTGTGTGTGTGTGTGTTCGAGCCGGAGCCCGCGATGGTTGATATTGATAATACTGCTGGGCCTCCGTGGTGATCAGGGGAAATGCATTCCGTCTCCCAGCTCCATCGATCAAATAGGGCTGAACGTACTCTGTATGTAAAAAAGAATTCACTTCTTAATGCATCTGTCATCCTCAGCCCTTCCATACAATCAGGCCTAAGCGTAGACAACACTCGTTATATCCGACGACGGCAATTATTGGCTCCTTCCAGCTGCTTCGACGGGGTAACTATAGATGTGTGGAGGGGGAGGGATCAAGGATCCCTTAATAATATTATATTACATACAGTATTTCCCTTTTCTTTTAAATCTCTCGGTCTTTTTGCGGGCGTCGAAAAGTCTTGTAACTCTCTGTACCTACGGAGTACAGTCTGACAAACTTGGATCGCCGCTTAAATAATCTGCGCTTCGGAGAGGAAGACTAATAACTTGGAATTTTTGTACCTGTAACCACTACATATTCCCTGTTCCCCGGTTATTGTTATTAGAGTCTTCGGGAATGCACATAATTGCACACGGTCATTGAATGTGGTGTACAGATAGATGTATGTACTGTACGTACAGGTACACGGAACATGGACATTGGACATGATATTCGAACCATGATTCTACATTTGTACGCAGTATGTCCCTTTCATTTACTCCGTATAATGGGATACATATGACATATGACGGCCACATAATCAATATTTATTTACCCAGGTAGGTAGGCTACGCGGACACCTTCCGGCCCGTGTTAAAGAAATAGAAAAAAAGAAATTCCATATGAACAGCTAGTTAACTATCCTATGAGAGATCTAATATTGGTTAGTTAGACAGACATCACTTTTGAGAAAATAATCATAATAGTATGTAATACTGACAAAGAAAGACAGACAACAAGAGAGAGAACAAAAAAGAGAACAAGGCGCATCCTTGTACAGATTACAGCACAGAATTGTTCTTTTTCCTTCGGGTTTTGGTCTTCGGTGTTGTTTAGCTTTTCGTTTCTTTTCGTTTCTTTTCTTTTTTTTTCTCGGTTGATAATTTGACAGGCCCTTGAGGAGCCGGTAACTACGGCACGGCACAGTAGAGACTGACAGAGAGAAAAAGAAAAGAAAGAAAAAAGAAAGAAAGAGAGGGACCACTTGTTCGACGGTCTCAATATTTAGCTTTTCGTTTCGGCTTTTCTTTTGTCTCTTCCCGGTTGGCTTTTTTCCCACGTCCCGTTCCCTCCCCCCTGGATGCTGCTGTCCACTCGGAGGACATGGGAGGGAGTGTGGCTGAGAAATCATCGGACAGGAGAAGCTTTCTTTTTTTCTTTTTTTTTCGCTTTAACTTTCTTTTCTTTTCTTTCTTTTTTCTTTTCTTTCTCTTTCTTTTTTCTTCACCCGTTTGACGGCTATTCTTGACCTCTCACCACCACCACCACCCAATTCCCCAATGCTGGACACATCCAGTCATTCAACAGATATGACAAATATTCCGTATACAGGACAGGACAGGACACAATGCATGGGAAACGACGGGATGGAAAAAAGGCGACATATCTAATCTATCTAGATGAACGCCCTGGGCCGGGTTCATGCCCGCATGCCCCTTTGAGACGCCCCAAAAATCAGCAACCGTTATTTCCCACCTCTCACCTCAGCGCTGGCAAGGTCTGTAGGTCAAGAGACTGAGAAACTCGACAGGATATTCCCATTTTCTATTTTCCATTATTTTTAGAATGCAGATTTTTGGCAAACAATTCAACGAGGTCGAATAATAACAAGTTTACTAACTAACTCTCCATCCATTCCCCCGTTTGCCGTTTCCTTGGGTAGCATAGCATTGTTTGTCTTACATTCTACGCATGTCTGTTTCAAAATTATCTTCGGGTACCAAAGGAGCGTACCAAGGGAGCGTCAGAAGACTATCCGTATATTATTATAATATATATATATATATATGTAAACAGAAGTGATCTGTAGGGAGCTTTCAAATAATGGCCTGACGGAGTTTTCATATATTGTATCCATGTGTGCGTAAAAATAACTAGTATTAGAGGCAACTTCTTTTCTTTGTTCAAAACCCTGCAAGAGCACCAGCGCAAACGAAACTAGCCAGTTCTGTTCACTTTTATTCTGTTTCATTCATCCGCGTTTGAAAAATGGGGTTTTCGAGACGATAGAATGCAATAGAATGAATGGGATTATTATTTTATTTTTTAAAGAAAAATTAACCTGTGGAAGGATTTCCCTCGCCAACCCCGAACAAAAACCCATCCCACCCTCCCTCCCAAAAAGCCCCTGAGCCAGTTAACCGTTTTTTTTTTTTGTCTCTGTCCTACCCCCGGGGAGAGAATCAGTTTCCGATCGGCAGCCTCAACATCCCTGAACATAGGAAAGGGCTGACAACCGTTGGCCGCTGCTTGAAGCCACAAACCAGTCAAGTCACCACATCATCATCGCGCCCGGAATTAACCCCGGGACAACAAATCTTCGGCATGCATGGGTAATAACGATAATAATAAAAAAAAATTATCCTGAGATGCTATTCCAGCCTGCTGACGAGAAGACTTCTATTTATTGGTTGGCGATTCCGATTTTTAGCAATACAGTACTGTGCACAGCGGCGTTCTCCACCTTGTCCAAGTAAATGCCGCTTTTTTTTTTCCCACTTTTTCCCTCCCCAATGAACTGACTGACTGTGCCGATGTGCTCCCCGATCCCGGACCGAATTCGGGAACTCAGGTAGTGATTGGCTTTCCGAGAATTGTTGATTTCTCGCGCCAAAACAACATCAACTTCCAATGTTTAACTCTCGGGATCCAATAATCATATCGATTTGAACCCACTGACTCCCTCTAGCCTAAGAAAAACGGTGGCTTTCTCGGATGAGGATTCCCGCTTCTCGGCTTTCGAAGGCGGGCCAAGGTTGTATCACGTGACATCAATCACAAACCTCCGAGTAAGGATCTAGATCTTCAAAACAAAGCGCGTTAACGATAACGCCGAGCTTCAGGTCCAGGCATGACTCACTTGGCAATGATGACTGCTATTATTCCCAAACTAGAAGATACTAGCATGAGAAACTTCCGCTTAACCAGATTTCGACAGGATTAGCTAATGATATAGAGAGAATTGCTTTTAGCTTCATCTCACCCCACAAAGCTAGAAACGCCCTCGATACGCGAATCTTCCGGCTTCACATATCCTGGAATCCATATTCTAGATCCCCGATTGGATTTCCGAGTGTCTCTAGTATCTCTAGTGCCACATCCCCTTCCCATATGATTTTGCTCTGCGGAGAAAAAGCTGATAAGGTTTCCTGGCTAAGGCAAAATCCAATATCCCCCCTTCCGCGTTGCCTCGGTTTGGGGGGAAACGGCACACATAGATGGAGGGCTGCCGTTATGTATATGTATATGTACGTGTACTATAAGCCGTATACGATAACAACTCAGCAGCACCGATCAGCTCCGGAAAACAATGTGGGAGGACAAGGGAATTTACCTCTTGTCACACCACACTGTTATCGCCACAAGAATAACTAGAGACTAACCCCCCCCTCCCCCGGCCCCGGTCCCCCGCTTTTTATTCTTCTATCATGAGCCCTCCGAGCTGGCATTTTAGTCTTCCATCGGCTGCCCAGAACTGGAGCTGGGTAGCTTCGGTACCGAACTACGTGACCAAAATGTGGCAGGCGAACCTCGGAAACACAAACGAAAAGATGCCGGAGGGTGAAAAGTACATGTAACTAGAGGAGAGGAGAGGAGAGATAAGATATCCCCCCTATCCTCGTCTGCGACATGTTGAGCCTGGAAGTCCGTCAGCGTTGTATGGTGGAACCGCGAATGTTAAAAACATACTAGATCCCGAAGTAGAGAAATCAAACGAAACACTCATGTTTTGTTCTTTTCCCTCCGTTGTTGCCATTAGAAGAGAACTTTCCGAGTACCAAGACCTGCGTGAATCAGGAGCGCAAAATCTATAACAGCCTGCCTCTTTTCGGATGGCTGACTACCCGTCATCCCTGGGGAGGCCGGGGCGATTGAAAAATCTACGATTGTTTTTTTTTTTGCCTTCATGCGGAATTAACTAACTACACGTCAGCTGAAACTGAAGATCCTGGAATAATCAGGTACGGAGATAATAATAATAATAAAAAAAAAATAGTAATAATAATAACAAAAATAATAATAATAACAACAAAAATAATAAAAATAATAATGCATAGTTAGAAGTTGGAACAGCGACACTGCATGCAAGGTTTCAACTTTGTATTCTGTTCAGAGTTTTTGTTGGTTTAAGTTAGTACTCTGAGAGAGAGACAGACGTGTTCATCTGAGAACATGCAGGTGAAACTTATGCATGTGATTTAAAAATAGATATCCGAAATTTTTTTGGGAATGGATACTTAATCGTCGTTGTAATGGCTAGCTTGCACCTTGGCGCGTCCTTTATTTTTTAATTGATGGCGTTTGTTATGTACTCTGTATGGGCTCACATGTTATCTGGATCGCAATGTATGTGTGCCGTGGACAGGACGCAATGTTGACATAACTGGTGAAAATAGAGGTTAGGGATCTGTCTGAATCAGCGAGGTTGTACGAATTAGACGCAAGGGGATCAATCAGTGATATCGAGGAGATGTTTTATCACCTTGATAATTCTCCATTTATCATTTTTACCAACAAAGCAGCAAGAAGTGGATTATTACTTGTCAAAACTGCGCTTCTATTGCTATTTATAGACGACTATTTACCGTCCCAATCTGCATATGCACTGCACCGCAGCACAACGGTCTGAATACAAGAATAGATTTCTCGAGGTACATACAGCTATAGTCTCAATATTCTCTGAAAGGTAGTGATATCCATCCCTCCCATATTCCCTCTCCCACATTCAACAGGTTTACCTAAAAATATCTGCCGGTCTGGCCGTACCATTGACTCCGTGGATTCGGAGAAATTTGATCCGACTTCTTTGAAATGGGTAGGAATACTAGAAGCACATGAAGAGGATCAAACTCTGAATGAACAATAGAGCATTTGATTTAATTCAGTAGTGTACGTGCAGGTGCACCATTTAGCTCCGGCCAATGGCGTCGTTGCTGCTGAGAAGTTAGAACTGGCATCGTAACCGTCCACCCCGCAATCGAGCTGGGTCATTATTGTCAAGCTGTGGGACAAACCGGGGCAAAATATCGCCACAAAAGTATCCACCTTGGCGAAAAGGTGAAGGCTGTTCGAAGCCCGTTCCCGGTTGTCATATCTTTTTTCTGGCGTGGAATCAATCCTCCTCTGTCGTTTCGATATCACATTTTTGTTCTACAGGCAACCTCGGAAGGATAGAGCGGGTAAATGTAGCCATGTGTGTGTAATGTGTCCAACCCCTCTCTCAACCGGCCTTGGCTCCTAGCTTGGCTGGAATTATTCAGTATCTGTCCATTTCGGCCCCGCCAAAGCTCGGTGTCAGGATATCGCCTCGCCAGCGCGGCATTCAAACTTATTCTGGCCGTCGGGCCACGGTCTGAGTTTTGATATGCACATTGCGAGGCCCGGTAGAAATCCGGCGAAGTTCTCCGTTTAGCTGCTCCAGGGTATGCGAACAATGGATCGCCGGGCTAAAGATAGCCTGCCCTTCTAGAGCAGAAGCCCATCTCTTACAGGGTGATACCCATGCTGTTAGAAGAGAGTTTTTTGCGGTTAATAGCCACACCCCCGCGCGCGAGGGGGCGCTGACGAACACCCACAAAAGCTCACGAAGCGCGATAGGTATTTGAAATATAATAATCAATTCGGTGACGCTCAAGTTGCAGTTCATTGGATGAGTGTTAGTTTTCTGACGCCAAGGTATTCGTGACATTGTTCGGGGACTTGTCATCCTCTTCCCTTTCGACGTTGAAAGAAACAACCACCTAGCCCAGTTTGTCACTATGATGAGCATTAGTTTCCTTCGACAGGCTACCGGAAACCTGACAGCTGCCCCATATCAAGATGAGCGACAACCTGCATCACCAGATATATTACTTGCAATTAGAGTTGTCCTCAGGGTTAAGGATGTCATGACAACCCCGGTCCATGCACTAAGTCTCATGATGAAAGCTGGGGTAACGATTGGGTTGTTAGAGCAAGGGATATAGCAAAGGAACACAAGAAGCACATCCAACACGGGCATTCAAGTGACCAATCCATCCGACCTCCCTTGTACCGAAGCGATTGTTGAGATGAGAAGGGGACTGAGTGGCAACTTCTAACCAGGGTTGCAGCGAGGATGCTCGTCGACGATGGACCGAGGAAAACATCCCAAATCAAGAATATGGACCTACCATCGCGCACTGCACTGCACCTGCCTCTGGAGTAACATGGTTCGCCCGTCTCATCCCATGAAAACTCCTGGTTTTTCTTTCTGATATGGTGTTCGGGGAGAATACGCTAGCGACGGGCAACAATGCTCCTTTTCTCACATCGGAACGCGGAATTCGGAAGATTCGGCCTGCTAGTGGGCAAATATTTCCTGCGATAGAGAGAGGGAGGGGTAGCGACTTAAATCAACCAGGACTTCTTGATACTGAACGCCCTGTCGTTAACATACCCGCATCTTAACTGGCTGAGTAAACATGTTCCAAACCTCTCCTTCTAGCTAGCCCATGAATCCTGATATGATATACGTGGTTGTGATTTTCCGATACTGCACCCGAACATCTTGTCTTGAG